TAACTCTTGAAATGTAGCCCAAATGAGAGCTTTTGGGTGAGGGGTGATATAATAACTTGGGCCTGGAATCAAGACCAACTGGGTCTCAAATCCAGTCCACTAGTTGCTACCTGTGTGAGCTAGAGCAAATTAATTACCTCTCAGAGCCTCAGTCTCCTCATCTATAAAATAGGGAAAGTGGGGCTGGGCACGGTGGCTAATGCCTGTAATTCCAGCACTTTGGGAGGCCGAGGTGGGTGGATCATGTGAGGTCAGGAGTTCGAGACTAGCCTGGTCAACAGGAGGAAACGCTGTCTTTACTAAAAGTACATAAATTAGCTGGGCATGGTGGCATGCGCCTGTAATCCCAGCTACTAGGTGGGTGCTGAGGCAGGAGAATTGCTTGAACCTGGGAGACGGAAGTTGCAATGAGCCTAGATGAAGCCACTGCACTTCAGCCTGGGCAACAGAGTGAGACTCTGTCTCAAAAAATATAAATGAATGAATGAATGAATGAATGAATGAAAAGTGGTACCCACTGCATAGTGTTATGAAGATTAGATAGGTTAATGCTTTTGAAACACATGCTCAGCACCTGGTACATAGTAAGTGCTCAGTAAATTACTAGCGTTATTCTTTAAAAGGGCCTAAACTAATACAGAAGCAGCAAGAATCTACCTGCCTTTCAGACTGCCCATGCCCAACTAATTTCCCTTCTAACTTTGCCCTCCTCTTTTCTATGTCTTGTTATTTTTAGTTTCTCAACTTGAATACTGTGTATTCAAGCCTTAATTCCCTGACATCTTCCTCTGGTGAGACAGCTCCGATGTCCACTTCTTGAGTGTGAGGATGGTCTGCATGATGCCAGCTTTGCCTGAGCTAGGGCCAGAGGACAAGTAAGGCAGGCTAAAGATCTGGTTAAGGTCTGGGGCAGGGTGAGAAATTGTAGAAGGCTGGTTCTGGTAAGGGCTTTCTGGTCCCAAAAGAGTAGAGCTTATGGAGTCAGAATGACTGTTAGACCCTCCAGCCAAGAGAGGGCGCGTGTACTTATACAAGTGTGTCTGAGTGTGTATGTTTTAACATTAATTTTTAGGTGTTGGGCTGGATGCGGTGGCTCATGCCTGTAATCCCAGCACTTTGGGAGGCCAAGACGGGCGGATCACCTGAAGTCGGGAGTCTGACACCAGCCTGACCAACATGGAGAAACCCTGTCTCTACTAAAAATACAAAATTAGCTGGGTGTGGTGGCACATGCCTGTAATCCCAGCTACTTGGGAGGCTGAGACAGGAGAATCACTTGAACCTGGGAGGTGGAGGTTGCGGTGAGCTGAGAGGGCTCCATTGCACTCCAGCCTAGGCAACAGGATGGAAACTCTGTCTCAAAAAAAAAAAAAAAAAAATGGTGTTGGTACTTCTCATCTTTTACCTGGTTGTGGTGCTTAGGAGGGATTTCTCACTCCACTAATAATGTATGCCAGTGTCATGTGTCATTCAGGTTTGAGCCTTTGGTATTTGGGAATTCTTCCTTTAGGAAGCAGAGGGACCAACTTCACAGCCCACACAACTAGCTTTCCCAGCTATGCTGGCTTTGGGCTCTGGAAGGCCCTCTCAGTTCAGTTCCACAAATTTGTTGAGTGCCTCCTCTGGGCCAGGCACTGTGCTAGGCACTACAGTACCCAAGAGCCTCTAAAGGGTTCTGATCTCAAAGGGGAGATGGGAAGATAAACCAAAAATGCCATTTGTCCCATGAGTATGGAAGGGACTTGGAGGATGGTCAGCCTCTGTGGGTAGCCATCAGCTCTTGCCTCTACCTGTTGAGCATAAATTTGATGTCCTTGTCCCTGGAATACCCCTGAGGGAAGAGATGGGACTGAGGGCAAAAGCCGTTTGAATTTTCTTTCTTTTCTGAGCAGAGCTGGCTTTTCATCACTTTTAAACCCCAAATTGAAGTTATAGCAAAGACCTTTAGTGGAGAAAATTCACTGAGTAATCCCTTGGGAGGACTATGGAGGGAATGCTGCATGTTTTCATTTCCTCAACCTCCAAGTATTTATTGAGAGCCTTTGTCATGTCTAGCACAGGAGCCAGCACTGTGAGGGATGTGGCGAGAATCTGGTTGAAGACGTCTGGCAGATTCAAATTGAACAGGTTATCAGAGCACAGCATTTTGTTTGAGTTAGAGAACTAAGGGCAGTGAGGCTGCCTGTGATGCACAGATCCCACCCCATTAGCCCCTTTTCAAAGCACTTCATCCCATGAGTCTCGAGGGAGGAGTCTGAATATGGGGGTAACAGGTCCTGTGTTTAGCCATAACATTTTAAGTCCATTCATGGAAGATTGGCCTTTGCTTTATATTCACTGTCTGCACAATGGGAATAATAATTTCTATCTTGTGGCCTCCTTGTGGGATGTGACACACTCTGGGTGTTGGAGAGTAGTGAATTCCTTTTCTTCCTCGCTCCCTGTGTCTATTGTACCCTGAGATTGCACGTGGGCACACCCTTTCTCATCTTCTGATTTTGAGTGTGGCTCATCTGTAGCTTTTGCCTCATCCTTCCTAATGACCATGGGAATAAGGGAGGGGGTAGGGGTAAGAATGGCTGCGGGTAGTGGGGAATAGTTCAAGGTGTGCAGGACTGTGTCTGCAGCCAGCCTGACCCCCAGGAGTCCTGGGCAGGCCCCATGGTTTGGGTATGAGTCCTGATGAATGTTTGCTCAACATTTGCTTGAGCGTTCAGATGGTTTTTTACTGAGTGTTAAATTTGATTAAACTCTTAGGTCCTCCTCAGTGCCAGGAAGACACTCTACTTTCTCTCCCTCTTTTCCTCCTTGATTCACAGTGGGTAGGGGAGGGAAAAGGGCAGCTTTTAGAAAGAAACATTTATAGATGTCACACCCAGGCAGTTAAGAAAGCCCTTCACAGGAGGCTGGGCACCAGTGGTTCATGCCTGTAATCCTAGCACTTTGGGAGGCTGAGGCAGGTAGATCATTTGAGTCCAGGAGTTCAAGACCAGCCTGGGCAACATAGTGAGACCCCTGTCTCTATTAAAAAAAATAAATAAATAAAAAAAGCCCTTTACAGGGTATGAAGGTGAGGGGCACCCCTGGCGGCAGATGATCACGGACAGATGTGGGTGGGCCAGAATAGAGGAGGATAGGAGTCCCTGGGAAGGGGGTTTGCATTCCCACCCCACCCTCATCCCTGCCACTCCCACAGCTCTAACCTCCCAGCAGGATTAAAGTTCCAGGTTGCTCCCCTCTATTGGCTTACCTTGATGCTATCACCTTGATGCTAATTTAGGCCTGTGGCCAGTCAGAGGCCTGTCATAGGCCTTCTTAAGAGATGCCTGTGTCTGTGCTGGCGCCCTTCACCTGGCCCCCACTCCTCAAGTCTGGAGAGTCCAATTGCCTGCTCGAATGATTTCCAAGTGGCTATTATGTTTCCAGCCCAAGGTAATTGGCTTTACTAGTTATTAATGGATTACCCTAAAGAGAAAAATGTTGGGGGAGGGAGGTGAGGGCAACACCTACTGACTTTGTAGTTTGGTTCTTCAGTATCCACTGGCTGCTTCCCAGGCTGGCAGTCACTTGGGGCATGCCAGGAGTGGCTGTTTGGCATGACCACTCTATAGTTTAGTGGCTGCTGGCAGCCTTGAAGAAGCTAGGATGATGGGGCATATCCCTGGAGGAAGTCTTGGCTGGAGTCATAAAAGGCCCAGGATCGCTCGTATGGCCTTTTTATCAGCCTAGGGTTAGAGCAGACACCTGACCTACAATTTTGATTGTAAGTCAGTGGTTTGGCCAGTGCCTGCCTAACATCCGCCCATCAGCAACTGGCAGGCCAACTTCCCCACCCCAGCCAAAGCCACTGGCTTCTCCAGGGCCCTCTCTGTGGAAATCCATTTCCTCACTGACATGCTTGGGATCAGAGAGCCACAGATGCTGGGCCGGGCCGCAGCGGATGGTCTGTTTCCCTCACATTGCTAATGTGTTATTAGTATGTCCAGTCTTCTTTCTCCCCATGAATGACATGTAGGGACATGGCCCATTCCTGCCTCAGGGCTCCTGAGTAACACCACTCCTTTCAACTCTCTTGCTTGCTGTTTAAGTTTTCAAGCCCAGGTTTCCTGAAGGCTTCCCCTCTCTACCCTAGCAAATCCTCTTAACAAAGGAGTTGTCTGGCTCACAGGTTCAAGTTCTAGGCCAGAACTACAGCCAACCTAGCCGCTGCATGGATCCCTTACACCAGGCTTGTGCCTCCATTTAAAGTGAGACTGCAGATTGTATATGTTGAGGTTTTTAGGGCTCTAAGGGACACTGCGCAACAGGGTCAGCCTGCTCCTTCTCATGTGCCTCTTGGCGTTGTTTCTGGCCTCAGAGGACTCTGTGGGACTCCCATCCCACTCTGCAGAAGCTGCCTGGCTCCTCTCATTCCCCACTCTGCCCCACCTATGGACTAGCGTATACCTATCCATGGGATTCACTCACCTTTCATATTTTTTCCTTTTCTCATTTTGGTGCCTTTATACCTGCCCTGTACCTGTACCACATTACCAGATTCCTCCAACTCTTAGAACCTTCAGGAATGCCTCCCAGCTGCCCCTACTTCTGACCAGGGCATGACCTTCCAGCCCCAGCAACCTGTTCCTTGGACCCCTATTCTGTGCCCTGCCATTGTGCTCTTGGGGTTCCTACAACTGGAGTCCGACAGGCTCGCTCTCCCTTGGGCTCAGACTTGTATCTACAGATCTGTTTTTATGGTGTGCAGAGACCACTCAGCCCAGTCTGTGCAGCAGGCCCAGCTGCGGCTGAGCCTGTGGATCTTCTGGGTAGGCAGCTTTGAGGGGCCACACCCTCACAGTCTTCTAAGATGTCTTCCCACAGCTCCTCTGATGGTTCCCTTGGCCACTTCTCTCATTCTGGCTTAACCCCACAGTCCCTTGGGGAATGAGCACGGCGTTTCCAATTGTTAGCCATTTCTAACAAGCCAGATCTGACTCTGCTTTCCTTTTGTTTGGCAGCTCTTTTGTGACAGGGACGGCTTGTTGCGGTCACTTCTCACCCCTGAGAATCTGGGACCTCAACAGGTAAGAGATTCCTGAGCCCACCCTGGCTTCTAGCCCAGGAGGCAAAGGAAAGCTTGCTGAGCCAGCTTCTGCCTCGATTGGCTGAGTGGTCCAGGAGAAGGCTGGGAAGTGGTTTAGTGCTGTGGCGCCTTCTCACATGGAATCATTGGGGGTTAGCTGGAGGAGACTGTTGAAGTAATTTATAATAGGTAAATTGTTTCGTGTAGAATTTGTGATAACAATAACAATTTGGATTTATGATACTCTTTCTCTGAGGAGTACCTATGTGGCTATATAAAATCCCATTTATCCCCAGAGATGATTTTGCTAAAATAAAGAAATTTTGAAGGTGGCCTACAGACCTATAAAAAGAATTACACAGAACAGTTAAAATACGTGATGGTTTTATTCACAATTCTCTGCCTTGGCAGGCTTTACATATTCCCATCTGATTATCTACCATTCTGTTTTTTTTGTTTTTTTTTTTAACTTTTAAATTTTGAAATAATTATAGATTCATAGGAAGTTACAAAAATAAGATGGAAAGGTGTTTGTGTAACATCTTACATAATATATAATATAATATAATATAAATCAAACCAGGAAGTAGACCCTGGTACCATCCATGGACCTTTATTCAGATTGCACTGTGTGTGTGTGTGTGTGTGTGTGTGTGTGTGTGTGTAGTCCTATGCAGTTTTATCACATGTAGATTCAGATAACCATCACCACAATTGAGGTACTAAACTCTGTTCCATCAGCACAAAGATTCCTCATCTACCCTGGTAGTCATACCCATCCTTATACTCTCCTCTTCTTCCCCAAGTCCTCCGAGGCCAGCAGGCCAGGCTGGCTGTAGTACTGGCCTTAGTTCCTGGCAACTTCTTATGTGTTCACCGTCTCTATAATTTTGTCATTTTGAAAATGTTATATAAATGGAATCATATAGTATGTTACTGTTTGAGACTGGCTTTTTAAAAACTCAGCATAATTCCCTTGAGACCCATAGACTGTGTGTATCTACTCCTCTTTATTGCTGAGTAGTATTCCATGATATGGATATACCAAAGTTTCTTTCCCCATTGAAGGACATTTGGGCAGTTTTCAATTTTTTGACTATTGCAACTAAAGCTATTACCAGCATTTGTGTACAGGTTTTTGTGTGGGCATACATTTTAATTTCTCTGGGATAAATGCCAAGGAGTACAATTGCTGGATTGTTTAGTAAGTATATGCTTAGTTTTTTACCTGCCAAGCTATTTTTTAGAGTATCTTTATCATTTTACATTCCCACCAGCAATGTATGAGAGATCTTAATTTCTTCACATCCTCACCAGCATTTGGTATTTCACTATTTTTTTTCTTTTTTTAAATTTTTACTTTTTTTTTTTACAGAGATACAGGGTCTCATTATATTGCCCAGGCTAGTCTTGAACTTCTGGCCTCAAGCGATCCTCCCACCTCAGCCTCCCTAGTAGCTGGAACTATAGGCATGTGCCACCATGTCCAGCTAATTTTGTGTGTGTTTTTTGAGGAGATGGGTTTGCCATGGTACCCAGGCTAGTCCTGGGCTCAAGTGATCCACCTGCCTAGGCCTCCCAAAGTGCTAGGATTACAGGCGTGAGCCACGATGCCTGGATGCACTATTTTCTATTTTTTAACGATTCTAAAGGTTTTATATTTCATCATGTTTTAATTTGAATTTCCCTAATAGCTAATGATGTTGACATATTGTCATGTGTTTATTTGCCATGGATGTCATATATGAATATTCTCTTTGGAGAATGTCCATGTCTTTTGCTTGTTAGCTTTTTTTTTTTTTTTTTTAATGGAACACTTTATGAATTTGCCATGCCAGTCTTCTCTGTATCATTTCCATTTCCGTATATGTGCTTTAGAGGCAAGCAGTTTGCTTTTTTTTTTTTTTTAACCATTGAGTTTTGACAGTTCTTTCTGCATTCTAGATATTAGTCTAGATATTCTAGATATTAGTCCTTTGTCAAATGTGTGGTTTGCAAATATCTACTCCCAATCTGTACCTTGTCCTTTTATCCTGAGAACAGGGTCTTTTGAAGAGCAAATGTTAAACATTTTGATGGAATCTAAATTACTGACTTCTCTTTTATTGACCATGCCTTTGGTGTCAAGTCTAAGAAGTCTTCACCTGGCCCTAGGCCTCACAGTCTGTCTTAAATGCCACAATTGACAGCACTGGTGAAGATGCTCTTCTCACCTGCTTCCTCAGCTGCTCTAGCTTTGTCTTCTCCATATTTCTCCAACTCCTTAGGAAAGCATTAGCCATAGCTTTTATTGATTTTTTTGAAAAATTCATCCTATAGTCAGTCTTTCCAAAATTTTTTAAAATAACATGAGATGTTTTAATCAATGAATCATGGTTTTTTCCTTCAACATTCTATGTTGATGGTCATCCAAGAACAGGGATGGGAAACTCCCTACTTCCCCAAACAACCATTCTGATAGCTCTGTGAGTAAGAATGCCCACCCTTTATCATGGATTGATTTGCTCCCTGAAGCTGTGATCCTGGGCAAGAAGCAAGCAAGTTGAACCTCTCTCCTGAAGAACAGACTTTTAATATCTGAAAACCTTGGTTCTGTTCTTCTAGGGCCTCCTCTGCACCAGGCCAAAAGTTCTAGGTCCTTCAGTTGTTCCTCAATAACATAGTAGATAGGTTAGCCATAGCCTTCGGCTGTGAGTAACAAAGACCTAATTCAAAGTGCCTCAAACAGGTTGGGTGCACTGGCCCATGCATCACAGCACTCCAGCCTGGGCAACAGAGTGAGACTGTCTCCAAAACCAAAAACCAAAAAACAAAGTGGGTCAAACAACAATGGGATTATTACTATCTTAGATGACAAGGAGCCCAGAAGTTGGGTGGTTGGGTGGTTCCAGGGTTGATGGTTCAGTAGCTCAATGAAACCATGAGGGCCCATTCTCTTACTTTCTGCTTTGCCACCCTGGTCAAGGTGGCTTTTGCTCTCAGACTTGTGTAGAGCTGCTCCACCCGCTCGCCAGGCAACACTCACAGGGAAATAGGAATAGCCATATGTCCTTGTCTGGGACCCTTTTTAATATGAGGAAGCCTTTCTTAGGAGTTTCCAAGCAGACTTCTCACATCTAATAGTCAAAATTGTATTCCAGTATACTTACCCTAAACCAAACCCTGGCAAGCGGAATGGAATGACCAGTCAAGATTCACTTCCTGGGCTGGGGAAGAACTCAGCTTCCACCCTTGCCCCTACACATTAGCAGCAAAAGGTGGGGGATGGTACAGAAGCAGGGTTTGGTTGGCTAGAAAGAATATGAGGAATGTCTACATAGGTGACCTGTAGTGTTGGTCTCACACTGGTTTCAGGACCATTCTCACCTGACGGTTTCTTTATTTGGTTTATCCCTCTTGAAATGGCGTGTTCATAACTGACTACTGAATAGACCAGGTGTGGTCTGACAAGTGGTAGATGCTGGCACCTCCTTCATTTTAAATCTCTACTTTTGTTAATATAGCCAATAGTTGTACCCCACTGTTGCTACCCTAGCTGAAACTTCCCAGGACTCCTCTGTTCTTTAGCCCCTAGGATTTTGGAGCTCCTACAGTCTGTGAAACTTGCTCCCCATGAGCTCACCCTGCCAAACTCCTGCCATTGGCCCTCCTTCCTTCTGAATGGGGCTGGGGCAGAGGCAGCCTCTCCCCTGGTGCCAGGGCCAGTGTGATGTGAGGCTGTGAGGAGCTCTGGAGGGAGCACTGGCTGTGTGGCCAGACAGACCTGGCTTCCAGAACTACTGTGCCTCTTGCTGTGATCTGGGGCCCTTTGGGCCTCAGTTTCCACATTTGTAAAGTGGAAATTAATTATCCCTACCTAACAGAACTGGGATGAACAAAATTATTGTGAAAAAGTCTGTCTGTCACCTTAGAGTCATTCAACCAGTGCAAGCTCTTTCCCGTTCTTCCTCCTCACCCACACTAGTACCTTGGAGTTTGTGGAGGCTTCTTCGTTTCTTGAGAGCAAGGACTTGCTCTGTCACCCAGGCCGGACTGCAGTGGCTACATCATGGCTCACTGCAGCCTTGACCTCCTGGGCTCAAATGGTCCTTCTGCCTCAGCCTCCTGAGCAGCTAGGACCATAGACATGTGCCACCATGCTTGGCTAATTTTTTAATTTTTTTATAGAGACAAGGTCTCGCTATGTTGCCCAGGCTGGTCTTGAACTCATTGGCTCAAGTGATCCTCCTGCCTAGGCCTCCCAAAGTGCTGGGATTATAGGCGTGAGCCACTGTGCCTGGCCTGTGGAGGCTTTTAATTCTCAAAATATGTGTGTCGCCAGGCGCGGTGGCTCACGCCTATAATTCCAGCACTTAGGGAGGGTGAGGCGGGTGGATCACGAGGTCAAGAGATCGAGACCATCCTGGTCAACCATGGTTTCATCCATGGTGAAACCCCGTCTCTACTAAAAATACAAAAATTAGCTGGGCATGGTGGCGTGCCTGTGGTCCCAGCTACTCGGGAGGCTTAGACAGGAGAATTGCTTGAACCCAGGAGTCGGAGGTTGCGGTGAGCCAAGATTGCGCCATTGCACTCCAGCCTGGGTAACAAGAGTGGAACTCCGTCTCAAAAAAAAAAAAAAAAAAAAAAAAAAAGTGTGTCTTAGTGACTAGTGGAGGAGATGAACCTGCTGACCTCCTGGCACAGAGAAGGCTCTTGACAGTGGGCTTTGGTCACAGAGATGGGCATTCTGATGAAAGTTTGTATTTGGTCATATAGCTGGGCCTTGTGTTTGGCATCATCACCTGCCTGGGCCCAGGATGGCACACAAGCTGGGTGGCGAGCTGGGTACACCACCATGACTCAGCATCATCTCAAAGGTTGAGTAATGTTTGAATGGCCTCTTCTGCCTATTGTTGCCTTGGTGAATGGTACTCCTCGGTATAGATTTATGGTCAGGATGGAGTTCTAAGGCACTATTTCTTTGACTGTCATTCTCCTATGAAACCCCTAGATCTCACTAACCCCAAACACTGAGTCTTTATTGAAACCAGAATAGACCCTAATGAGAATGGGTACGAGACAGCGATAAGCCTGGCAGGGTGGCTCATGCCTGTAATCCCAGCACTTTGAGAGGCTGGGGCAGGGGGATCACTTGAGCTCAGGAGTTTTGAGAGTAGCCTGGGCAATATAGGAAGAACTTGTTTCTTACCAAAAAAAGTAACAACAACAACAACAAAAACAGCTATGGCCTCAGTTCTTCCTGGAGCCTGAGAAGAAACAGCCCTGCCCCCTCTGGCCAGCCTATGGGCTCTGCTTCTTGTGGCAGGGCTGCCCTTGGCATCACTTGGCATGCCTTCTCTCCAGGCCCCAGGTTCACCTACTGGGAGATTTTTGTTTAAATGTCTGTCCTGTCCCCAAGAGAAGCTTGGAGGACCAAGTGGTACAGCAGTTGAGGAAAGATGCCCTGGTGGAGGCATTTGCTTTTGGTGGGAGGAAATGGATGGACAGGGTGACTCTAGAGCTGTCTTACCCAGAGAAGCCCAAGTAGATAATAAAGCCATGTAGAAAATAGGATTAAGGTAATGAACAGGCAGGACAAAGTTTGATCTTTCAATAACACCAAAGCCTGACTGACAGGCCAATCTGAGAGGTGGAGCAGCATCGCCGGCAGGACTTGGGACTGGGCGGTGAGCGATGCTGGATGGATTCTTTGCTTTTAACTTGTCATTGCTGAAACTTGAGGAGCGCCTGGATTTTCTCTTTTATGTATGTGCTGGGGCTTGGGTGAAGGGGGGGAGTACTAGAGGGGCAATTTGCTCTAAACATTGCTATACCCTGGATGATGGTTGGGGCTAGGACACTCAAAGCTGTAGCCACCCACTGGGCACCACTGTTTCCATCAGGGGAGGCATCTCCCACGTCTATGTGTGTGTCTCAGCTACGCACCCTCAGGTAGCCATTTCTGCTTCTCACGAAGCCTGGATCCCTTTCAAGGTCACCATGGTTCCCTCAGCCCCTCATTCTGTCAAGACCCTTAGAGACTCTCCTTGCAGGCTGGGCTGGAACAGGGTTGGAGGGGGAATTGCTGGCAGGAGCACACAGGTCAGAGGGAAGCCACAGGCACACAGCCATTGCCTCTGGCAAAGAGCTTGGCTGTCCTCCTCTCCCTTCCTCTTTTTCTGCCTTTCTGTTTCCTGGAGCTGGGCACCATAGGGTTAGGCCCAAGGACAGGGGATTCCCACCTAACGCGAAAGAGTCCTTCACCCAACCTCAAGGTACCAGAATATTCCTGCTTCTGACAGTAGGTAGTCTTCAAGCCAATTCCCTAACTCCCAAGTGCCAGGAATTCCTGTACCTTCATCTTGACTGACCAACCACTGAAGTATCCCTAGCTAGGCCCTGAGATCCCATCAGGCCCTGAGGAACTATGTCAAAGCCATCCTGCCTGAGCCTGGAGTCTGGAGGAATCAAAGCTCATCTTGCATTCTCTGTCTGCATTTGAGCAGGACCCTTCCTTGGCTAGGCCCCAGGGAAGGTACCATGTCTTGGCTGTGTGGGGCATAGCTCCTGGTGGCTGGAAGGCCCAGGTGGGTCTGACTGGCCTGCCATCACACATACCTTCCCCCATGGGCTGCTGCTTGCTGTGGTTTTTTTTTTCTGCCAATGGGCATTTGAGCTGGATCTAGCACTGGTGCCCTGAGCACAGGACACAGCTGGGCCCCTGGTAGCTGTAGGCAGGTAGACTTCAGGATGGAGAGCCCTTTAATCCCAGACCTGAAAGTGTCATAGTAGGTCCAGCCACAGCCCTAAGCCCCGCTGGGATTGTGGGGTGGAAAAAGGGGTGGGGAGGTGGTTGGTGACCTGGATGCTCCTAGGGTATTGAGTCCTTGGCCAGGCTCTGTGCTGCCCTGTATGTGTGGTCATAGGCAAGCCCTGCACACATCCCATTGATTCCCCTTCCCCTTTGGGCCAGGGTCATCCCTGGTCCCCTGTTACACCTCCACTTCCATCTCAAAGTTCCTGAGTTCCCCTTTTCTCAACAAAGGCAGGGGCAGAATAGGCTTCTCACCCATCCTAACAGATGCCCTAGATTTTCCCCCTGAGCCTGTGCTCAAGCCAGTGCCATGCCCAGAATACCCACTCTATGCCTAATGAAACCTTGCTTGCTCTTCAACATAAATAGCACCTCCACCACGAAGCTCTCCCTGATCCTGACCCCTGTGGCTGGACTTGGTGGCCCTTTCCCCTGAACAGTGTTGGAGCACTGATAAGGGCCACCTGGTCAGCCATGGCTGTGGCCTGGTATAACTCTCCCTCTGAGCTGGGAACTGACCTTGGTTTCCTGCACTGAACACAGGATATGAATGAGTATCAGGTCATCTAATGACATTCGGAATGGTAAGGGACACCTGGCTGGAGCCCGTTCTGTCTGGAGAAGGAAGCTGTGTCCTGCACACGGGCTGGGCCACTCTGGGGGCACTGTTAGTACCCATCCTGCCCAGGTGTGGCTTTCTCTCTGCCTCGGCCCTCCGCCCCCACCCTGTGCAGGGGCCTGGCCCACAGTCAGGGTGATTACGGGAACTGCCCCTCTTTAAAGTACCTGCCTTCTCCTTTGAAAGTATTACTGACAGCTTTTTTTCATTCTCTTTTTTCTTTACCTCTTTAAGGAACCCTGTAATTTCTTTCTTTCTTTCTCCCCTCTTAACTTTTTCTTTCTTGTCCCCTCTGTCCCCCTGAACCCTTTGAAATTGGCTCTCTGCCTGCTGACACCAAACTGATACTTTGCGTTTCACTTCTCCTTATCCCTTTATGGCAACAGATGTTGAAATTTTGTATCCTTTTATCTGCCTGGCTGCCCCTTCCTGTAATTACGGCCCCCTTCTTAGCAGTACAAAGTGGGCTGCCCGGCTGCCTGGCCTTTGAGCCATTGTGTCTGAACACATGTGCGCGGGCGGGTGCTGGGGGTGCGCACACAGACACATGCATGTGAGAGGCTGTGTGCTTGAGAGGGCCCTTCTTTCTCACCTGATGGGGCCGAGGCAAGCAAAGCTTCCATACGCTTCTCACCTCTGTTCCTCCATTGTTAACCTTTAGAACCTATCTGTTCCCTCAATTCTCTCACTACCCCACCAGAGGGCAAACCTCTGGGCATCTGTGAGGTGGAAAGGACTGCAAAGAGCTGGAAAGGGCTGGAGGTGGCCCTGGGTAACTCTTAGGGCAGGTCCAGTTGTACAGTTGGATAGAGGTTGTTAAGGGGCCAGCAAGAGAGTGGCTGCATTGTCTGTGAAGCTGGGGAGCACCAGCACCCCGGAGCATATAGACCTGATCTAACACTTACTGGGTGTGCGATCCCTGAGCCTTCATTTTCTCATCTGTAAAGTGGTGTTAAGAAACTTACCTCCAAAGTCTGTTGAACTGATAGGAGTAAAACACTCAGCATGTTGCCTGGTGCACAGTATGGACTCAGGTTATATGAGCTTTTGCTGTAGTGGCTACTTTGCCACCAGGTAACCTTCACAGCCATCTCATCTGGCTCCAGCAGACACAAAGAGAACAGGCCCTTTGGGTTACTTCTGTCATCCTGAAAGCTGCTACCAGACTGGATTTCAGGAGCTCTGCCTTCATCATGGATTCAGGCTCTGCCCTTCCTTGCTCTATGACATTAAGTCACTTTTCCTCTGTGACTCTTGGTTTCCTTATCTAAGTCAGGGGCCTGGACTAGGACAATCACTGTCTATTCAAAAGCCTCATGGCTCTCTGCCACTAGTTTGTGCTAGGTGAGGGATATGTACCCTAAGGCCCACTGTGGCCTGGAGGCCAGACTGCCAGCACACTCCCAAGCCTCCAACCAAACCAGATCACCAGCTGCCGCCAAAACAGCCTGGTTACCCTAGCACTGCACCTTTGTTGTTGTTGTTCCTGCCATCTGGGCCGTCTCCTGTCACTGCCTATGACAGTCCTGTCCCTCAGTGAAGAATCAGTCGACACCCCCAGCCAGAAATGCTCACCTATCTGCCCCCTTATAGAACTTTTTGTTGTTCTCTGTGGTACCTACCAACTCACACCTCGTTAGTTGGATACATGTTGCAGACTCCTCTCCTTGGATTGAATACTCCTTAAAGGCAGCGACAGAGTCTCCTTGATAGTCACAGCTTCCATCTCCCTGTAGTTTCCATTAAGCACAATGCTTTGTATCCAGAAGATGCTCAATTAATAGTTGCTGATTGAAGGAAAGAGGAGATAGAGGGGAGGGAAAAACCCCCATTCTCTTTGCAGCTATGTTGGGCCCAGCTTATACCTTCAAGCCATCTGTCCCCCAGGCAGCAGAGGAGATGGAAGAAGGTAAACGCTGTCACCCTTCCATCCCCTCTCTCCAAAAGCCATTGTTGCATTTCAAGGTAGCACATGGCAAACAGGTGCGCAGGTAAGCACAGACCCAAACAGATGCAGGAATGAGTATCCATAGGATCTCCAGGGAACAATATCCGGATCCCAGTATGTTAAAAATGACTAGAAAATGGTGTGGGAGCCGCGGGCATGCTGAGCTGTGGGCTGGGAGGTGGTGACTCAGGAGCACTCTAGTACAGGTGGCTGTGGGGAAGGCTGAGAGAAGGGCAGCAGGGCACCAGGCTTTCCAGCTCTGCAGACTCTGGGGGCAGGGGTAGGGTGCCAGGGACTGCCCCCTGTGCCCAGTCTAGCTTAGCACTCAGGGCTTCTCCCAGATGGACCATCCTTTAGGGCCAGCCCCTACTAGCAGTTAGCTCTCCCCAAAAGAGGGTGATGGGTATCAGTATTTCATGTAATGTCCCTCCTCTCTGACTGGCAGGAAGTTCTCTGTCTCCCTCCAGCTGCAGTGGAGCCACCTGGGCAGCAGGATGGGTTGACCTCTCAGGGATGTGGCCACACTCTGCTTGCTTCTTCCTCTCCAGGTATGGGGTTCCCAGGAGAAGCCTGCACATGGCCAGAGCCAAGGGAACAGGTCTCCCTCAGGTGCTGCTCCTCAGCCTGTGTTTCATTCATCAGGCTCACATGGGCGGCCCCATCTGTCTTTATGTTTCCCTGAGTTGAGAGACAATTGCTGGGCTCGGGCTCGGGGGAGGCTGGGGTGTAGAGGCCCCCAGCCCTCAGTGGCTCCTGGAGGCCTGGGCTTTGTCCATGGGAGTTGGAAGGGAATGGACTTTTTGTCTGGCCCTCTATAGTGATGGGTGGGCCCTTGCTCCTGTCTTGGCCCGGGGCTCTGAGCAGCAGCCCTGTTCCCACACAAGCTGTGCAACAGCCAAGGCTCTGCACCCCCCTCTCACCCCCCACAGTGAGAGGCTGAGAAGCATTCTTAACATTCTTTCCAGAGAAAAGGGGTGAAATGTCTGAATTTGGGGGGTCACCACGTTATACAAATTGCAATCTAATCGTTTTTACAAGAACACACTTGCAGTAAGAAAAGGAGCCCAGGAGGAGGGGATGAGGAGACAGACAGCTTGTTTTGTCCCTTTCCCCCAAAGTTTGGGGCTATTGTCGGGCCAATCTCTCCCTCCACCAGAGCAGTTGAGCTAGAGTTTTCTAGTTAAATAGGTCTTGGGGTGGGGGCCGAGAAGGGCCCACGGTGCCATTTCTGTTTGTTTTCCCAAATCAAAGCCCCAGCAGGGCTCCTGTGGCACTGCTGGGCCGCTATTTGAAGAGATGGGCCTTTTCCCAGAGCCTGGTGTGTCAGTTTATGCTCTGAACTTAACCTCACGGGCACCACACAACAGAGCCTTGAGGGTCCTGGGCCCAGGGGCAAAAGAAATTGTATCTTTTTATTGGCCCATTTAAAGCATGTGTGGCCATTTTAGAGAACAGCAGCAGAAATAAACCTCTCAGCCCCTGGCCAGGCTGTGCGGGCAGACAAGGGGCTCTTGGGGTTTGTGCTGGCCCCCAGGGCCTGGTGCTCACTTGGGCTCTTGAGTCTCCCCCCCGAGGGTAGGGAACCCTTGGGCTGTTCTGTATTTCTTACCACAGATACTTATGGCCATGACATTTTACAGCGGCGGCTTGAATGCTGGGGTAGGGCCCAGGTGGGCAGCCCATTCTGGGTGGGCGTTGTCCCTGTGCAGCTCCATGAGTGCCCAGCTCTCTTTCCCTCTGAACCCAGGGGCCAGGGTGGGCGGGTAGAGCCATGCTGGGCTTCAGTCTTCCCAACCCCCGATGCCTTTCATCTTCTATTTCAAACAAACATGAAATTACTTCTATAGATTAAAGGGGAGAGCTCCTCAATCATTCCTTAAGGCCTCACTAATGGAGGGGGCAGGGCCCCCAAATCTGGAAGAGGGAGGAGAACCGTGGAGCCAAACAGTCCCTACCCACCGTGCACCCAGTATACCTGAGAAAGAGACCTCCTACGGGGCTCTGGCCTACCCAGGGTGGCTGAATCTTGGCTGGTGGCCCATCTGGGAAGCCAGGGCTTCTCTGGGAGCCAAGGTTAGCAGTCTCTGTGGGATGCAGATCTGGGGAGAGGGCCTTCTGCATGATCCCTCTCAGGAGCCCCCCAACAGAGGCTTGTCATCTTCTCCCCGCAGCCCCAGCTCTGGGCTACGGAAGACCAGAACTTCCCTGAGAAGGAGGCTGCAGGCAGGGGTTGCTGACTGGGGCTTAATCCCCCACTGGTGGCAGCAGTGCTCCTGGCCAGGGCTCACTGTCTGGGGCTCAAAGGGAAAGGTGGAGGGGACAGAAAGGAACCCCCAGTCTCCTCCAGCCTTCAGGGAAGATGGCAGCTCTGTCGGGGAGAAAAGAGGTTGTGGGTCAGAGTCTGAATGAGGTGGAAGGACGGGAGCTGCCATCTGCAGTCAGACATGTGGTTGGCCGCCTTGTCTGCCCCAAGCCCTTTGCTGAAATGCTGCTTGGGCCAAGCTGGGCTGGTGAGCCAGGAAGTCCCCTCCATGCCAGGGCCTCTTACCTGGACATCCCTGTGAAGTGTCCATGGCCTTGTGTCTCCTGTCATGGCATGGGGAGAGCCCAGCATCTCATGGGTAAAGGAAGCTGAGGCATCAGGCATGGAGGGTGCCCCTTCTCCTTCATTCCCCCCAGTCATTCTGTGGAAACTCAATACTTCTACTCATCCCCTGGCCGCAGGGATTAGCGGGTGCACTTGATGTTGAGGGGTAGTTGCTAGGGACAGGAGGCCCCCCTACATGGTTGCTAGGGGTCTGGCATCAGGGCAAAGGGTCTGCCCACTGCCGCGGTCACGGAGGGAATTACACAGTCACAAAGAAATTGTTCTTCTCAGTAATCTGCTCTTGGCCACCGGGTGGGGTGAGGGTGGGGGGAGCAGGCTGGAGCCCTGCAGGCTGGGGGCTGTGATCACAGAGGCATGCTAGCCCCGGGCTGGGGGCCAGCTAGGCCAGAAACACCAGGGACAGCCTGCTAAGCTGCTTTCTCAGCGATTTCTCTCCCCAGACACAAAGGTGTTTACTTGTTTTAACATCTCCTAGGACTCCCCTTCTCCCTTTGTGTGGTCTTTATCCCCAACGAGGTTTGAGCCCCAGATTACAGGCAGGAATTAAGGCATTGGACTCAGGCAGCTCAACTGCATGACCTGCAGGATCAAGAAGTATAAAGTAACCGTGTGCGTGCGTGCGTGCGTGCGTGTGTGTGTGTGTGTGTGTGTGTGTGTGTGTAAAAGGGGGGCCAACTCTTTCAGCAAGGGCCATTCATCCTCCTGAGGAGGAGTGGCTGTGTGGCAGGCAGCCGGCAGGCAGGTGTGATGGAGGGACTGCCGGGGGAGGGGTGGGGCCCGGGACTGGTTGCAGAGGCCTCATGGCAGGGGTGAGGTGGGTAGGAATCAGGCATCTCCTCCCTTGGCCCCCTTCCTTGAGTCTCATTCTGACAGAGGAAAGAGAACCACATTTCCTCAAGTTCTGATGCCCTCTGAAGGCTGAACGAATGTGGATGGCCCATGTGAAACAGCTCTCACTTTGTCCTTCCCTTCTCAGTGGGCAGCTGATGACACACTTGGGCAGTGACTTTCCCCCAGGGGCTGGGGTGCTGGATGTCATGTATGAGTCCCCCTTCACACTGCTGTCCTGTGGCTATGACACCTATGTTCGCTACTGGGACCTCCGCACCAGTGTCCGGTGAGTGTGCTGGGCAGGGTGGCGGGGGCCCTATGCCAATCCTGGTCCTTCCTCCAGTCCTGGGTCGGCCCATGGGAGAGGGAATGGAGACTCCATGTTGGGGCTGGGAAGGAAGAGGCCTGCAAGGACATGCCAAGCTTAGACTTCCTACACTTGGGCAGCCCTGGTCGAGTGGCTTGGGAGACTGTAGCCAACGGGCCCTGACAAAGGCAGGCATTTCTCAGAGCCTTTGGAGCCATCAGGGTACTGTCCCTCAACATTCTGTCCCAGCCTTTCTTGAGGCCTGTGTTGCTTCTCCCCTTCATGAGTCCAGTGACAAGTAGCTGGTCATGTGAAAACACGTGCAGGCACCATCTGCTCTGTGGTCTGGGCCATGGCGAGAGCCCTCTACAGAAGGTGCTTTCTCCCATGAAGTTCAGTGTTTGTCAAATCTGATGATTGAGGCTTCTCTCTCTCTTCCAGCCCAGAATGATTCCTTAATGCTCTCCTCAGCCACTCTAGGCTCGAAAAAGCTGGGATGGAGGTGGAGGGCACCCTAAACCTCCCTCTGCATCTCCTCTTCCTGGACAGGAAATGTGTCATGGAGTGGGAGGAGCCCCACGACAGCACCCTGTACTGCCTGCAGACAGATGGCAACCACCTGCTGGCCACAGGTTCCTCCTACTACGGTGTTGTACGGCTGTGGGACCGGCGCCAAAGGGCCTGCCTGCACGTAAGTGTGCTCCTACTTCTTCTCCTGGATGCTAGGACTCCTGATTATGGGCTGCATCTGGGAGAGGGTGACACAGCCAAGGATGTGCCTAGAAAGGGTTGGAAGAAGCCTACAGTGGCACATGTGCCTACCTCCCTGGGCCTGGGGATCCTGGGTTAGGGCATACCCATGTCCCACTTAGAAAGCTTTTACCACTTCCTGTGCTCTCCCTTCCAGGCCTTCCCGCTGACGTCGACCCCCCTCAGCAGCCCTGTGTACTGCCTGCGTCTCACCACCAAGCATCTCTATGCTGCACTGTCTTACAACCTCCATGTCCTGGATTTTCAAAACCCATGACCATCAGGGCCACCCCTGCCTACGGGTCAGGGAAACCAGCTACTCAGGGACCTCTGTTGTTTGGAGGATGCAGTGATAACTCTCCCACTGCCCCACTATGCTCCTGGACCTGTGACCCCAGTGCTTGGGCACCTTGCCCTAGAGTCTCTGACTCCTGGGGCTTGGGGGCTTACCAGAGATGCAGTCCCTCCCAGGAACCTGTTGGAGAGGCAGGACCTGCTGCTTTAGAGGAGTACAGCTGAACCCGGGCCTTGTGTTCCAGAGAGGCCCATCTTACACCCCTTATTAGAGCCACGACAGCCTGCAGAGTGAGGTGAGGAGCTCCCACCTTCCCAAATGGTTCCTTTCTGCCCCTTCATGGAAGGAAAGGTGAGGCTGCCAGTAGCCCCCTGGCACCAGCCAGACTTCACCCTTGACCATCCTCTCGGGGCTGGGGGTTCATTCCTGGGGCACTGTGGCCTGGTTTTGTTTGAAACCAAGAAAGGGCAAAGAGAACCCAGCAGTTCTGATTGAGTTCTGAGCCATCCCTACCTCAGGCTGGCTGTGGAGACATGTTACAATTTTCATTTTTGTAAAAATAAAGCTTGATTGTTCATCTGGTTCTTCACTGACTGAGTAGTAATAGGAGGCCCGAGGAGAAGGCAACAGCAGACCCAAGCTCAAGGTTGTGTGTGCTGCTGAAATGGCAAGACCAACCTCATGGCTCTGTGTCCCAAAGGTTTTTTTTTTTTTTTTCCAGGAAGACTTCCCATGGACAACCTACCCCATAGCATTTGAGGTGTGGAAAGGGTCCAGGCTGCTGAGAGCTTAGTTGTTACCTGTGGTGACCCCTACCCCAACACACACCCTTGGCAACACTATGACCCTTATTCTGGCTTTTTACCCACAATGCCTTAACATCCTATGTTCTATTTCCAAGGTTTCTGCATTTTTTGTTTTGAGATGAAGTCTCACTCTGTTGAGTGTGCAGTGGCACGATCTTGGCTCACTGCAACCCCCACCTCCTAGGTTGAGGTGATTCTCCTGCCTCGGCCTCCCAAAGTGCTAGGATTACAGGTGTGAACCACTGCGCCCAGCCAGTTTCTGCATTTTTAAAACTTCTCTCTTGTTGGCACATATCTTCAGGAGTTTCCTCTGAGCCACTTCTGCAAACTAGGGTAGCACAAGGTCCCTCCAGACTGGTCTTCCTCTGAGTTTGTGTCAACAGGTTGTGGGGAAAGGCCAGCCCTGCCCTGCTAGGGCCATGTGCTCCCACCCTATTCGCCTCCCTTTTTGTGGAAGGCTTTATGTTGACGATCCCTGGGATAGAAAAGGGAATGTCATCACCACCCCCCTCCTGAGGAAGGCCAGTGGGGTCTGGGGCCAGGCAGCATACAGAGGTGGACAAGAGGGCAGTCCCTGTGCAGTAAGTAGCTCACAATGACTTTACTCAGGAAATAAGATCATGACTCGCTGGGAATGCCCCACGGCCCAGTTCTTATAGACCCTTGATAGCTCCTAGAAGAGAGGAGGCTGCCGTGGCCAAGAAGGGCCAAGTCTTGAAGTCTCATGGCACCCCCCATGCTAGAGGTGTAAGGCTCAGGGGCTAACTACTGCGTCTTGCAGTCCCCGTCGTTGCCATGGGCTGTCTTTACCTTCTTTAGTTCCTTCTGTAGCTCAGACTCAGCCACCACAACCTCCTTTGGCTTCTGGTACTGTGGATGGAGCCAGGAAGAAGAAAATAATTCAGTCACTGTCCCTTCTCCCTCTGTACACACTTGGGGCCCCTTCCAATCCCCTTATTTGCACTAGAAAATTGAGTCCTATATGGTTGAATGATTTGCTCAAGGTCATGTGCCTGGGTAGGAGCAGACCTTGGACCAGGACCCAAGTTCAGCAATTTCCACCGCTCCCCCTTCATCCTTTACCCTCTTCTAGCTGTGAATTATATGGTCAGGCTCCTCCCTGAGCCCCCTCCCTGCTCTCCCCCATGCTGAATTAAAGATGCCTGTTCTCCCACAAGCACACCCTAGGCCTTGGGGCTAGAACTGGACACTCTTATGGGATGGAAAGTGGGCAGGGAAAGAGGAAGACTCTCCCTGATGCAGTGTCCAAGAAGTCTAGGTGAATCTTACAGAGATGATCAGAGTGCAGTTGGCGTGGGCAAAGCTCAGCGAGGCATCATCCAGAGGTAGCCGGTGTCTATCTAGGTCAGGAATGGAGAACTTCTTGTAGTACCTGTGGGGACACCGAGAGACCACTGGGGCACTCCGCAAGGTGACTCAGCAGCTAGGCATCAGGACCTGTGCTACCTAGCTTCTACCCAGCTCTACCACACATGCAGAGAGGGAGAAGGGAAACCAGTTAGAACACCAGTATTTTAGAGCTCAGTGGCCCCAGAAAGCATAGGATGGAAGCCTTATGTCCAGTCCAATGGCAGAAGAGCAGAACCAGTCATAACTCTGTGATTAGACCAGATTATAGTGACTCACACCTCAGAGCTGGGTCTCCCAAAGACAAGCAGAAGAAACCTGGAACACACAAACAGCTCAAGCAGCTTGGGACTCCTCTACACTCAAAGCCTCATGGAGACACCAGAAAACAGGACGTGTTCCAACAAGGGACAGAATAAGGACATTTAGATCTGTCTCCCAAAGCTGGGGCCCTACTGTTACCACTTACATGGGCTGTCCACTGAAGGCCTCAATACTACTACTACTTTCGGGGCCTTTCAAGGCCTTGTTAGCCTGACTCTACTTGTAGGCCAGAGGGAAAAGTACACCCAGTAGGAGAAATCTCCTTGAGAGGACAAACCATGCTCCTCATGATGGAAGCTGGACCTCTGCACTACTCGGCTGGCCCCAAGACACCACTCCTCCATTTTTACACATCACACATGGTCCTTATCATCTGCAGGTGCTGGTTCAGAGATTAATGATGCCTATTTAAAAAAAAAAAAAAAAAAAAAAAAAGACCAGATAGCAACACCCAGTCCATAATGTGTGTAACTAGACTTTGCAGGAAATTTGACCCCTTTAACAAAAAGGGAACTCAGGCTCAGAGAGATAAATGCCTTGCTTGGTTTCACAGCCAGTTGTCAGTAGGGATGGGAGTCAAGATTAGAGTAAGGTTCCTTGTCCTTGGTCTAATGCTTACTACACCAAAGCACAATGAATGGCTTTCTCATCTCACAACAGACCAGTTTGGCATTTTCCTTGGTGGAAATGTAACTTAAGCTCTGGCCAGGGGCTGCCAGACCAGTCACTTGGGCAAGGCATCACTTTCTGCTGCAGAGGTTGTATGGGCTGTGAAGGGAAACACCTCAGGCAGGTACAAACAAACTCAAGTGACAGGCCTGGGGAGGATCGGGCTTTTAGTACTTCAGAGGGGCCTGGTCCTTGTGGTGACAGCTACCCTGAGTCCACTTCAAAAGCCCCTATGCCCTGGGGACTCAGAGAGTTGACATCAATGCAGCACTTCTGCCCCCGTACTCCCTGCCCAAATCCCTTGGTTCAACAGAGACTCTCAGGGCCCCTCTCTTCCCAGGTTCCCCACTCCCCACCAAGGTACTGGGACCCATGGCAGGAAAAGAATGTTTACTTAAAGGCTGACAGTTCAAAAGGAGTGGGGGCTGGGGGATCCTAATGGCACTGCAAGTTGCTTTATTTTCCAAAGCTCTGCCCCAGGGAAAGGCGATCCATCTGCCTGCAAACCGAGGATGGAATGCCTGCCTCATCCTCTTCCTAGCCAGCTCAGGCTGAGGGCTCTTCCTGGGGCCTTTGGTCTGGCCAGCAAAGGTGGCAGACACTGATAATAGGGGAGAGTCAAAGGTTAAACAGCAGATTAGATGAACACAAAGGCTTGTTAGGAAGTGTTAACATCTTCCCTGCAAATATACACAAAAAGCAGAACCATTCCCCCAGGCTGGGGCAGTGGGACTGGAAAATGAATCCCAGGGCTTGGCCACAACAGCAAGGACAGGATCAGAGGGAACTTAAGGTGTATAGCTTGCACTCACCTTCCTTGAACTGCTCCTATCACCAGGCCAGGGGAATGGAGGCAGAGCAGGTGGAGGCTCAGCTTTGTTTTGAGTCTATTGTAATGGATTTAGTTTATTAGTTGAGGTTAAATAACTTCTTAGAAGCTCCTGATAGGCTCAAAGAAGTAGAGGTCATCTGCCTTTTCTCCTCCTGGGGTAGCCCACCCCCTTCCCCCAGACATGGGGTTTTTCCATGATGGGTACTACACTTGAATTTCTCACCAGCACCTGGACAAGAGAGAGACCACTGTACTTCTGGAAGAGTCATAATGTTCAGCCTTAGTCAGCTGTAAGTAGGTGGCAGACATTTATTGGTCATCAACCATGTCCCAGGCCTTGAGCTGTGAGTTAGGAATTTAAGGATGAAGAAGAGGGCAGGCCTGGTGGCTTATGCCTGTAATACCAGCACTTTAGGAAGCTAAGGCAGAAGGATCACTTGAGGCCAGGAGTTCATGAACAGTCTGGGCAACATAGCGAGACCCTGTCTCTAAACTTTAAAGAAATAAAAGGATGAAGAAAAAACAAGGCCTCCAGGTGCGGTGGCTCACGCCTGTAATTCTGGCACTTCAGGAGACCAAGGCAGATGGATCACTTGAGGCCAGGAGTTCAAAACCAGCCTGGCCAACATGGTGAAACCCTGTCTTTACTAAAAATACAAAACTTAGCCAAGCATGGTGACAGATGCTTGTAGTCCCAGCTACTCAGGAGGCTGAGGCAGGAGAATCACTTGAACCCAGGGGGCAAAGGTTGCAGTGAGCCGAGATCATGCCACTGCATTCCAGCCTGAGCAACAGAGCCAGACTCCATCTCAAAAAAGAAAAACAAGGCCATATCCCTGCTCATCAGACCTTGTTTTGTTTCTGCTAAAAGCTGAACCCTTACAGCAGGATAGTTCCCTGGCTCCCTGCAGATGCCCTGCTCTCCCCGCCTCCCTTCAGTGTTCTATCTCAGCCATACAATCAAAGATGACATTTAAAAAAAATTCATGCTTATTCTGTGCCAGGTTCTAAACACATTTAATCATCAAAACAACTCCCTAAGGTTGGTTACTTCTTAGCCGCTTTTACACAAAAAGAAACTGAGGCCCAGAAAAGTTAGGTGTCTTTCCCAACCCACAAATCTGGTAAACAGAGAAGACTGTATTAAAGTGAGAACTCCCCAAATCTCCTGACCCCTCCATGTCTCCACATTCTTACTACAAGGTAATAGCCCACCACAGTCTAGATTCTTTGCATTTATCCAAGGATGGGACAGATGATTGGGATGGGAGGTGGGGATGTTCAACAATGAACAGATTGTCTTCCCTGGGGTGCAGCCACCCTGACGGTCCCCTGGGTACTCTCTCCAAAATATCAGTGACCTTCCTTTCTGAAAGTCAAAAGACTTACAAAAGACGTATGGGGAAGTAAAGGCTGGTAGCAGAACTCCTGGCCCTGCCCTGTGATCCTGGGCAGGCCACTTAATTTCTGGGCCTCAGTTTCCACATTCCTTCTTCGAATAAAAGAGCTGCCCTAGATGAAGTCATTGTCAAAGGGCCCATAACAGGCCAACTCTGTACCTATCTTCTCCCTGTTCGA